ATTTTAGTGTTTCGTCTGATTACGTGTCTTTCATGCCACTACTAGTTATTATACAGAGTCTCATCTTCATGATACTAATTTATCGTCTGAACTTACAAGTTGTCTATTGCAAATATACAAAGATATTTGGCACAGTGAGCATCTTGTGTCTCTCAGCTCGTTAAGCCTGTGGAGTACAGTGGTTACTGTATCTAACTGTTATAGCATAAAGTAACTTTCTATTTTACCAATATGTATTATTCACTGATCTGAGTCTTAGAGTCAATAGTGTTTATTTCCCCAAAATAGTGATAATAGATTAATTTAAGTGAGTGATACGTAGAGCTTTAGAGGGTTGCGCGTGACGAAAATAACGAGCTCTGTTTCAGATGTTTCGATTTATTAGCATTTCGGTTAGCGTCTCTCTCAATTACAATTAATACAGCGCTATCGCTAATTTACACAATTTACAGTTCAACTTCGCACACGCACTAGGATTCTCAGTTTACACTAGTCGACTCCTTGCAACGGATCTTAACACAGAAACTAGTGCTTCAATTCATTATGAAGTCTTCTCGTTATTTCGTCTACAATACTCTGTACTCTTCTGTACTCAATCTTCGCAATTCACTAAGGACAAGCTCCATTCTTGTCCTTGTATTCTCAACTGCTGAACCCTCATGTACTCTTTTCTGTGACAGCTTCGTGTCCGTGACTTATGGCTTCTCGGCTATGACTGACTGCAATCAAAGTCAAAGTCACATTGCGACTGACGGTCATCAGTCTGTCTGCGGCTCATGACCAGATATTTTTCTTATATGAAAGTTACTGTCCTGTTCATTTGGGGCGCCCTCTCTGACGAGAGGTCGGGTCTGTCATTTGTCAGTCATAGTCTGTGTTAGTAAGTCCATTGTTAGTATTTACATATATTTACAAATTTAATCTTAATTCCTATTTCTATGTACAATATATATAAGGCCTCTGTCAATCCAGGCTCAGTACAGCAGATTATGCCCTATTTCTAGTAGTATTCGCTACCACATGACTGCACTCGACCTTCAATATTCCCTTTAAACCTTCGGCACCGACCCCAATGAAAACACCTATTATTGAAGACGTGTTTACAGTTCTGTGTCTTAGATCTGGATATGGTGCAGACCACATTGAAAAGAAGTCACGTGATAGCTATCTCGCCAGTCCATTGTTGTTCCTATTCTTGCGTAGCAAGGAGGTATAAACATTCCTCCTATTGTTGCGTGAACTAGAAACGGATTTTTACCAAGGATCTGTCTTCAAGGAAGATTATTTACCAATCCGTTGCCTAGCAATGCGTGTACATGTAACAATATCATTTGGATGAAATGCATACCTCAGTGGTAACGTGAAGCTCTGGGCTCCTTCAACGTATCTCTTACACTGCCTGATAATTTTCAGATCCTAAAATTTCTACCAGTTTCCTCACGAAACGACGCTGAATCGCTTCTCCATTTGTGACTATGAGGTATAATAAGTAGGTAAGTAAAAACTGTTCCGCTCATGTCCTTTGAAGTTCTCTATGATTAATTAAGTTCAGCCGTGACAACGCCTGGTGAGCGGAGGCATAGCTCAACTCATTCTTAACCTCGGCACCAGGTAGCGCCCGGCGGATGACCTCCCAGGAAAATAGACCCTGCATTGGGGAGTGGACGGTGGGCCTCTCAGCCAGTCTGGAAGCTGTGAAGACGAAAACAATGAAACCCCGTTTTAATGCTTGACCAGTCAACAACCACCATACTCATGCCAATCCCAAATTCATAACCGTGTTGTGTAAGCCGTTGTGTTACAAATGCGTTATTAAATTATCTAAGCACTGCTAGTCATAAATGTAATAACAGGGAAGCACAATTGCAGGGCTGACACCTTACTTGTTCCGAGAACTGCATTATCTCGAATTTGGGCCTTTATATTAAGATTCAGATTAATATAGTTGCTTCAGTACACCTGACTTTCAGTTTCATGTCACATAATTTTATTATGTTTTGTAGCGGACTCTTTACCAAGACATAGGTGGGCTGACAAAATCAAAATGGATCCTAGAGAGGTATGAAGGGGCGGTATGGATTTGATTGATCTGGTTCAGGATTAGGACCAGTGTAGGGCATTTTTGAACACGTTAATGAACTTTCAGGTTCCATAAAATGCTGAGAAGTTCTTCAGTAGCTGCAAAATTGGCAGTTTCTCATGAAAGTCTCAGCCCCATGAGTGAGTGATTGGACTCGCTAGAAGTACACAGAATGGGATTCTTTGAAAATGAAATGCTAAGAAAAATACTTGAGCTTAAAAGTTACGGAACTATGGAGAGAATTACATAGTTACCACTTCATAGACTCCACTCTGTAACGAAACATAGAAGCTGAGACGAGGGGGCATTTAACAGGAAAGGTGAGATGAGAAATTACACGAAATTTAGCAGGAAAATCTGAAAAGAAAATAATATTTAAACTCAGGAGTACATGCAATGACATATCTTTAAAAAAATTCTTGTGATGTTATGAACTGAATTCGTGCAACATAGACAGGGTCCAGTGGAGGAATATTACGAATATGTTAATCAACATACAAGTTCTTTAGAAGGTGAAGTATTTCTTACCCAAATGTTTGATTATTCTTCATGGTCGCAGAGATTCGTCTGCTCACACTCGCTTGACAGAAATCAATTTGTTACTTGGAGATCTGGTCACAAGTTTGAAAATCCTGTGGGGAAAACTTACTTCCAAAGAACCTCAGATTTATGTTAAGGTAACGCGTACCTTCCATCTTAATGGTATTTGCGCGAAATCCTTGGAAATGACAGGTGTGATGTGTATTCTTCAATACTCTTAGGTCTCCAGGACGTCTTAAGTCAGTAATACTATCATGTCGTTTTACTTCGAGTTTTGCCGTTGTCTTCAGTAGCATTACGTGGGTTCTAGGACCCAAATGTCAATTAAAATCCAGCATGTGTATAACTTTCGACACCAATTTTATAAATACATAAGAATATAATGCCTTTAGGACACTTGCTTTTAGCATCTGTCTCATATGCATTTATGCCTATTCACATGACTCTGTAGGCATGTAGAATTGTCAGATGGAAGGATTACTAATTAGTGATGGCTTGTAAAAGGATTTGGAAATAAGAGGCCGTGGTCTAATCGCGATACTTTCCTGGCATTTATCTATAAGGGTTTAAAAACACGAAAACCCTAGTCATGACAGCCGATGGCTCAGAAGATACTCGAACCGAAGCCCTCCATAATACAAGTCTACCCCGTTACATCTACACCTGATCGGTGTCTACTGCTATCACTTACATCTTGCTGTGTTTGTTTTCTCTACAGGCTCAAAGTTTCTCTGTAGCTAATGCTCCTGCAACTCCCACTCGTTGAGTGATTAGTGACTATTAAATTCACACGGACTCTGCCCCGTGGATTTAGTCGGTTACGTCTGCAGAGACAGAGCGCCCCTGAAAGTGAAGTAACATCTGCGATGCACAGGCTCCTTGTTACAATAACCTCAACATCAATCACCGGCTGGCGAAACTGGAACAGAACTCTCACCGGTCCCCGGGGGCACAATCTTGGGGAGGGGCACTCAAGCCGAGGTGGGCCGGCTGGACGGTCGGGATTTTGACGGCCCCGCTACTGTGGAATGCTAGCCAGCAGTAAAATTTAAACAAAAAAAAAATCTTATATCAGGAAGTCACAAACCGTGCCTCAGGAGAACCGATCGCAGTCTGTCACGTGGCAACTGTCTTCACGTCTTCTCACATTCGTTTCACGACGTCATAATGTACATGTGTGCTGCGCAATTTCGAGACCCTTAGTTGAAACTCTGGCGAGAGACCGGCTTCCCTACGTTGGACATGTACAGCGAGGAATTTTACTTTTTGACCGTTTCCATGATTCTGCGCTTCACAGCGACCGAACCGCCGTTTGCAGCTAGATGCATATGAATTTTGCAGAAGAATCAGCCAGTGGCTTTCGCAATGAAGTAGTTACAATGCACGTATCACAGGAAGTGTTGAAAATGCTGTACGTCTACATGTAGATTTTTTTTTGCAGTTAATTTTTTCGTTAAGAAACACAGGAGCAACAATGCTTCTTGCACTTACAGCACACCGGACACCAATTTTCACTGGATAGAGCCGGACTTTGTGGGTTAGATGTTGATTCTGTGAACTCCAGTAACGAGTCTTCTGTGTATCTAAGTATCCCTGCAAGTAAAACAACAATTCATCACAAAAGAATATTAATTGCGGATCAATCCAGAACTCAAATGACGCACCGTAGAAACTAACTGCAAAAATGAACCCTGCTAAGGGGATCGCGCTGCTGCAAGCCGTGGATTGCTGTTCATTTATAATGTCTAACCTTCAGCAATTATTTTGCCGTTCTTACCCTAGACTCTGACAAGCCAATCTCTTCAGGTAGATATTTCAGTGATTTTCTAGGTTTATGTTCTACTCTGGCCTGTGTGTCATCTAACATCTCCTAAGTAAGCACTTACGTTTTTGATTATTTTCTATTAAGACGCCCATTTTTCTAAGTTTATTCACCAAATTTGCAAATGGTCTGTCGCAAAGAACATCTTAATTTAAACTAGAACTCGTTTGCCGTCTACACTCTTATTAAATTTCAAACTTAATATTTAATAATAAGTTTGTGCGTGTGAATTTACTACAAGAACAATTTTTTATAAAAATATCTAACGCCGGTAAAATATGAAGGTCCGGAAAGACACCTATATTTATGTTAAGATACTAAATTTGGGGAACAACTGCACTATACGCATTGGACTCTATTTATACATAGAGGCAGGCTGTAAAATTTTGGAGGGAGATGGGCATTGCAATGCTGTCACAAGCAAATTCTTCACTGCCATTTAATGCTACAATCTTCTTCTCCTATTAGTAAACACTTGCTAACATACATAAGAACAAAACAACAGACGTTAGCGTTTTGTATATAAGGAATGAGATGTTTTACTCTCTTTCTTTCCAGGATGTTCATTACATTTATGATCCTTCATTCTGTGTCCTGCAACGGCTCTGGAGGAGATAAATCTGCAAACAAAGAGAATGATGTTCTCTTAAATAGAAATCACCTGAAAAGGGTAAAGCCAGTTACTAGGGTTATGACAAATGGGCTACAAATTCCGGTTTGTCCATCACATGCCCCAATTACTGCTGTATAAATGCCGTGCTGCTTTTTGTGGAGGTCAGCCACTCGAAACCTTGTCCCGTCGGAGGTGCCATTGTAAGACGGTGAATCATTATGAGAGTTTTGTCTTAAATTGGAAAATTGATTATTTATGTCAACATGTTGACCACGGAGTCTCCACGACAGTCACAAAGCACAGATGTTATTTTATATAATATATTATTATTTCCAACGCCATTGTGTAATGTTGCTCTGCCATTTGGAAAACTAACTTTGTAACGCCATAATATGATTTTATATTTTACGAGCTATTGTTAGCATGATTAGCTCAAGGAGGATGAGATGGGTGAAATGTGTAGCACACATAGCAAATATGACAAATAAGTGGAACAGTTTATAGATAAAAGGTAAAATATAGCAATACTTTTTTTTTGTTGCTTTTCAGCTTTGTTTTACAAAACGGTATTAGGAAAGAACAATAAAACAAGAAGAGATTAAAATTTAGTAGGATACATCATACAAGATCCTGCGCTTCATTTGAAATGCAGAATTGTTTAGGGGATAATCAGAAGAGGAGGCACAATAGATCACTGTGGTCGCGGTGCAAGGGCCATTCATTCATAGTAGGATACATCAGCTTCGGGTTATGCTATGTTTAAAATTTATTGGCGTGAAGTATAAAGAACATGAAGAGAATCACAGATAATTAATAGATGTTGTAACGGATTTGCTCAAGGCGTTGTTAGGCAACGGCTCAATAATCACCCAGCGACCGACTTGGAAGGAGAAACAGAAGGACTTCCATCTCTAGACCAGGTCCGAAATACTCGAACACAACAATAGGAAGAGTGGTTTCTATTGCCAGGTAGCAGCCAGCGCGCCAGTTGTCTGACTAAATAGCGATCACGTGGTAACCCCAACAGAAGCGTCAGTTACAAGCCGTGTTTTTTGTGCGTTGTTTCGTGCAGCAGTTATACATATAAAGCTAGTTCGCTTGTAGCTAGTTCAGTGGAGAGAATGAGACTAGAGGGTTGAAGTCAGCCACACGAAATTCGTTTCAAGAAAAATTAGACGTCGGCTTGCGAAGAATTAATGGACGATTTGAATAATTTATGTGTGCTGTAGTAGAGTGATATTGGGAATGTGCGATTTAGTGAGACTTTCGTAGTTCCTGTGTAAAATCCGTTGACAGAAAACAGATAGTGAAAACATTGCCAAGGCTTAGCCATTGTTGAGATATGTTGCGTAGCAACGGCAAGTACAAGAAGATATAGGAGATTTTATTTATGTGCTATAATTACAGTAATCTCGAAAGCGTAAGACCTAATTGTAGTTACGACTAGTGAATATCCAGTAAATTTATTTGTCTATCCAAACGCGGGTGTATAGTCACGAAAACATGTGACAAAATTTTGACAAATCGAAAAAGTTATATTTGGAAATATATAAAAATTCCATTCTTGAAAAAGAATAATGTTGGAGAATGGTTGTTTCCACTGAGTCCAGAATCATGTCATTTCTCTGAATACGTGAAAATTATAATATATAAACCTATGAGTTTACCTGTAGTTTCACATGCGTGTGAAATTTTGTTTTCGCATTAAGGGAAGGGTGCTGAGGGGAAATTTAGAGAAAGTATCGGGAAGCTGGTGGAAGCCTCATATTTAGGAGCTTCATAATTTGAACGCCTCGCCAGATGCTGTATAATCAAGTGTAATGCGATGGACGGAGCATACAACACACCTGAGTCAGATAAGAAATGCGCACAAAATTTTAGTGCGAAAACCTTAAATAAGGAGACCACGTTGTAAACACTAGGCTTAGTTGGAAAGATAATATTAAAACCGATCTTAAAGGAATAGGATTGGAGGGTGTGGACCGGATTCATTTTCCTGAGGATTCAGCCACTAAAATATTCAGAAGGAAAACTGCTGAAGTAAGAGATTTCAGCTTATTTCAGGAAAATATATGCCACTGAGACAACAGATTTAACATTAGGGAGAAGTAAGAAGCTGAATTATGTTTGTATCAGAAACATAATAAATCGCTGCAAACTTTGTGTGTGAAATTGCAAAGAAAATGTATGGAAAATATTTATATTCCTAATTTTGAGTAATTCTTTCCAATCTTCTTTGTTTTAAAGATTTTTTCATTAAGAACATTCCTTAACAACCTATCAAAATTTCTTCTTAAAAATTCAAGGTTACTGAAATTTCCGTAACACTTTTCTACAACGACATTGCATATGTGGTACGCTGAGAGTAAAACATTTTAACATTATGTAAAGAGGGACGACTAATCTGTCAGCTATACAGTCCATGATGAACCTTGGTCTCTGTTTTAAAGTTTCTTAATCTTATAGACAATCAGTAGGACTCCTTGGGCTGGGGTCATTCCGCCTCAAGAAAACACGAACATAAAATAAAAGCAGGCAAGTACCCATACATCGAGTGGGATTGAACCCTGATCGAGCGAAAGCAGATCAAGCCTTAGACCGCGCGGCCACTTTGATCGACAAAGAGAGTATAAATGTGCACTGTCTCAGAGAGATAGAAAACGATGACGTAATAAACGAGAAAATGAGGTACGAACAGATGAAGTTGGAGAGAATATTCGTACTAAGTCGTGGCACTGTGTATATATGCTTTAAAGACTGACAAAACCCCTGAGGTCGAGGATTAAGAAGAAAATATCTAATAATACATTTATTTACTGTGCGTCTTCGGCAATGATCGAATCGTCGGTTTAACTGGAGCTCAGCAATATGAAAACAATTGTCGCCCTGCGTAAATTTTGCCATACTTAATTTGTTTACAATATTATTCCTGGAGAGAATGGAACTATAATTTTCCAGAATGATGTTTTTTTTATTGCTACTGAGGTGGGACTAAGTCCCACGTACTGCGGCCACTTCTGGCCTATTGTACCAGCCCCAGATGATAGGTGAGGGTGATTGTAGAACAATTGGTGTAATGAAGATTGGCAGGGGAAACCGAAGTACTCGGAGAAAACCTGCCTCAGCGCCACTTTGTCCACCACAAATCCCAATTGATCAGACCCAGGATCGAACCCGGACCGCCGCGGAAGAATAATGGTAATAATAGCAATTAGTATGTGAATATTCAATGAAATTGGTGGGTATATACGATCGTTAAAATTATGCAATCAATAATTAAAACAATAATTATATGAAAACAAAAACTTCCGTGATTTCAGTCCGCAAGCGAACTATAACGACCGAGCGACCACCGCTTGTCGGCGAAGATTTAGAGGCAACTTTCTGCGGATAGAGGGTGTCGCGTGGTCAGCGCAACGAATCCCCACGGCCGTTAATTTCGGTTTCTAGACCGGAGCCCCTATTTCCTTGAAATAGATCCTCAGTTATCATCACGAGGTTGAGTGGACCCCGTTCCAGACTCACTACTTCTCCGGAAAAAAAATCTGGTAGAGCCGGGAATCGAACCCGGACCTCTGGATCTGTAGCCAGGAACGCTGACCACTAGACCACAGAGTTCAAAATAAAATTAATTTACTTTGTGCATAGTTAAATATACTAATTGTGTGTTAATTGTCATTGTTCAAATATTACAGTATAACAGTTTAAAATTGGATGTGAAATATACAACGTAATACTTTGCATCAAGTCGGGGTTTGATATTCAGTTTTGTATTGTTAAAACGTAAATGTAAGTTGCAAAATGGGGACTGCGAACATTTTGCTCTTCCTTAGGTTATTAGGATTATAGATAAAAAAAATATTAAAGGGATGGGTGGAGTATAGGAGAGACGAGAAATGCATTCAAAATCCGAGAAAGCCTGAAATGATAGTAAAACATGAGAGACCTATGTGGAAATCACAGGTTAGTATAAAAATTGGTCTTAAGGGGAAAAGAATGTGAAGTGTTGTACTGAATTTAACTGGTGGAGTTTTGGGAACACGATAGAGAAATTTTGTGCTCCATAAGTTGAGGAATTCATTGGCAACTTTGGCAACTGACAAGTTTCCAAGGAAGTCCCTTATTTCGAAAGTACAAGTAATAAAATTGGACAGTGAAGAAAAATATGTGCAGAATATTTTAATGGAGTCGTGTAATTAAGCATCCTGTTGCATTACTATATCTAAAACGGAAGTGAAGACAACACCACATCCTGAGACAGCGAACAACACACGAGCAGGGGGCAGAATTTCAGATTGCAAACGTAACACAACAATGGGCTTACGAATAGAAAAAACAGGCTGCTGCAATATAACATCCGAAGAAAATGAAACAGATGTAAAGAAGTGGGCGACGCCCCTTGTGATGTGTAATAAGAATTTTACAC